TGCTTTCATCCATCTGAGCTTTCAGCTAGTGATAGTGTTTAAATCTGGGCTGAAACCTGATTTTGCTTACAATAGTTTTAAAGAAAGATTATCTCATTTGTCTCCCCCTTACCTTCCAACTTAGCACACGCTAGAAGCATAGCCTAACTGATGCTAACTAACATGTCACTAACTAATTTGGGACACTGAATCTTCTTCATATCCAGAACAGTTGTGGCATCTACTGCCTTACGGATAAGCCATATTAGTACTCTGAGTTTCTGAGTCCCAAAACAGAGATCAGTTTTTGTCTACCAGTCCAATGCTCAGTTTGGCATCTCTACTAAATACCTAATGAGGATAGCTTTAAGAAACATGGTTAGATTTTGCACTGAGGCAACACCAAGTGGCAAACAGAAGTGACATGCTGCTGACACTGCTATAGGAATCGCAATGTCTGCCAGAGGTGCACAACTGCTGGGGCGCTAACTTCTTCAGTCACTGCAGCCAGCTTTCTAGACTCATTTAACAAGATCCCAGTGTGAGCACTAACAGATCAGTGAGAATCCCTCCTCTGCATGAGATCTATAAGAAAGTAACAAATGCTATTCTAAACAGAGAAAAAGCTTGGTATCAAGCAAGAGGTGGCTACAAAATGCTATTAAATCATAGTGGTAACAATGGTTTTCTTCTTTCTCTATTACCCTAAGAAGAAGAAAGATTTCATTTCTGCTATACTCACTAACAAGTACATTATACTGCTTTTCAGCATGCTGGCAATCCTCTCTTCATGTACAACATCAGTCTCGGCTTAAGGTATATCTATTCTAGAAAAGACTCCATGACTTTGGCAGTGTCTGCTCAGGATACTTGTAATTGACTTTCTGCTATCTTTGTAAAAGTTTAAAAGCTTATTTTTACCTATTCAGAGAGCTCTCCTTTGTTTTTTCTTTTGTACAGCAAGAGGTGGGGGCTAGAATAATTTCAAATTATTTATTTAGAATGGCCCTTCATTCAGATGATACTATGGTTTATCAAAATAAGAGATGAGAACTAGTGAAAAAGCCTTGTAAAAAAACCCACAAGTAAACTTTCTTCCAAGCTTGAATGAATACTCAGCATGTCTCACAGTATATGCAGGTGACTCATTCGAAACGATAGATCATGTGGAGCCTGTTTTCAGCGTCATGAAGACCCCTTCCCCGTGATTTGAAATGAATTGGCATGGCTCTGACATATCCCGCATTTTTTAGGCTGTATCAAACACTGGTTTCTGTTATAGATGAAGTGACAAACTCCGGGCTGGCGGCGTGCCCCCAGCTCTCCATTAGCGGAGCAGAATCGGCGCCAGCCGCCCCCTGTTCTGCACTCGTTTTCTGGGCAAACACTTCCCTCTTCCGGTACAAAACCTAACTACAGCCACACCACACAGAAAAATCTATTCCCATCTACCCTTTCATACATTATTTCAAACATTTCTTTTAATAATAACAATACATTTGATCGTAATAGTCTTTGCCTTTTCCCATATAGACAGGATGCTTGAGCTTTTTCCTACCCATGAACACTGGCAGTACCTGAGCTTTTTGGCCAGACACAAACAAGCATTCTTAGGAGACCTGGGAAATCACGCTGGGGCTTGGCTTTCTCTCAGTTCTCTGAATTAAAACACAGGCTGAAGCCATGGCAGTCCTTCACCTTACAAACAAACAAACAAAAAGTAAAACTTAGCAATGACATTTTCTAATGCTCAAAATATAATCATCATAGATCAGTTTGGGTTGGAAAGGAACTTCAGAGGTGAGCAGGGACATCTTCAAATAGATCAGGTTGCCCAGAACCACATTGAGCCTGGCCTTGAATGTCTCCAGGGATGGTGCATCCACCACCTCCCTGGTCAATCTGTGCCAGTGTTTTACCACCCAAACAGTTCTGGTCAGACCCTCCCCTTGCAAGCAACTTTGCTGATTGAATGGTTTTCTGCTGTCTCCTACACCTACCCCTGAAAATGTGCATTTAACCCCACATCAGCAATGCAGATATAAACAGCTGAGCTTGCGCAGACTGTGAGAAGGCATGGGTGAGCTAACTTGCTGACACAGCCAGCTCAACCCAAAGCATCTGCGTGATCCTCCCTGCCAGCAAGGCCGTGATGGCTCATTCCAGCCTACTGGTCTGCTGGAGAAAAGCCAGAGCCTCCATCCAGCAAAGCTGGATGCAGGAAAGGACTCCTGCTCTTAACCTGTGAAAAGAAATCAAAGTATGTACTGGAGAACTGCATGCCGTAACTTGAGGACACCCCAGCTGAACATGCTGCCTTCAGGGATTAAGAGACAACAGCAGAAGACAACTGCTGAAATTCTTGTGAAGAGCCAAAGATGGGCAGAAGAGTGCCTGCACTCGTCATGCTTCAGAAACCACAACTGGCCAAAAGCCTCAGGTTACAGTGCTGGAAAAAGCAGGCTCCACAATAAGGAGGGCTTCGATACCAAGCTGAATTTCTTGCACTCTCCTAGTGATTTAAAAGATAAATGACTTCTAAAAAGGAGAGTCAAGAGGAGAAAAAAAGCAATTGGCCAGCTAGGCATCTGCAGTGCAGACCAATTCAGTGACTCAGAAGAGTACAAAAATTGACAATATTTCTCTTTCCTGAAACAAAAAATGACTACTTGTAACTTAACTGAAAGCAATGTTCTTGCTCAAAAACCAGCCATTTGTAGCTCATCCATAAATAAACAGAAAGCAGCCATTTGTAACTCAGAAACTCAGAGGCAATGGTCTCACTCCACCGGGAGCTTTCTCAACATTGTTAGGCTAACATGTTGTTACTGTTTTCAGCATGGTATCATACCTGAGCAGGCAAATATATTGGTTATGGTGCTCTGGCCTCTGCAAGTTGTTCATGCACTGGTGTGGACAGTAGGGTCAACAGAAATAAGAAACACCTCCTCCAGCCTTCCCAGGAGAACATCACAGCAGTGTGAAAAAGACAGGTGACCACTGTGCTTACTGTGACATTCGGCTAAGAAAGAGTTATCGGATGAGTGTATTTAAATCAGCCCAGGTTCAGCTTCTCCTGACAGCAAAAGTAGGAAGAGACACAGGAAAATATCTTTCATGCTATTCAGCACAACAATTTTCTGTGTATATTTCCTACGTGTTTTGCATAGGGTAAACCCTGTGCTGTCTTAATATGCTGGTATCATCTAAAAAGGGAAAAGGCTGTCACCTGGGGTAGTATTCATCTCACTTAAATTCAGCTGTCTAAATGCAGAGAAAGAAGCACTAGCAGGGTCATATTCCTCCTCTGCCCTGATCCAGACGCTTTAAGCTGAGAGAACTCATGCCTGAGAGATGAGTGTGAATCCTCTCTCTCCTCATTAGGTATAAAGAGCAAGCTCAGCATAGATACACAGAGGGCAGAGAGGTGAATCCCACCTTTACTTTCTAAGGATGGCATTCAGGCCTCCAGTGCTATTATAGATGTAGAAGTATCTCCTGCCTGGCCTCCAGCTGCTGCTTCAGGAGGATGCAGGTCTCATGGCTCTCACGCTTATCTGTCAGCTCTGTGAAGATGCCTCCCATACCCTGAGATGTTTAATATGGCACTGGGCACTTTTCGTTAGATACCTGAACTGCTCCCTGTATTTCTAACTGTAAAGCAGAACAGGCTGAAGTTTAAAAAGCTATTGGATAATCCGTGACAAAGCTTTGCTCTATTATATACTGAGAGAGAAGGGAGAGTCCAAATAAATGAGACAATGCTTTCCTTATTTAAAATTATTGGGAGTTTTGGCAGACCAGTGCTTCCCACCCAGTGAATTAGGACCATTGGTTTCTATATACAAGGGGAAGAAACCTACCTTCATCAAAGTACATAGCTTTGTCTTTTGGGGGTCAAATAAATGCATTTGATGTTGCAACACAGATTCCTTGTGTTGAGGAATTTAGATGTAAGGGCAGACACCCCCTCAGGAACATGGTGACAGGCTAAACAGACATAGGCTGGTTTGTTTAGCACCAGTCACGCATCTTGAGAGCCGTTCATCACCAGGACAGGCTGGTGTGCTCAGCCACATAGGTGGGTTTTTAGTAACAGCGATTGCTTAAGAAGTTCAGCACTGGCAAGAGAGAAGTTGGGGTGGGGGTTTTGGTCGGTTTTGGGTGTTTTTTCCTTTTCCTAGGCAAGTGACTCAAATGCTTCTGCTTTGATAGCAAAAATGAAAGCAGGATTGAGAAGCAGTCAGAGAAAACAGTGTCTCCAGTCAGTTTTGAGGTGCCCTTGAGAGATCCAGAAGACATCTGATGAGTAATATATTTGAGAGGAGTTTATGGCTGGACATAACAAGGGTTCCCAACTCATAGATGCAAGCTTGGACATCGGAATGGAAGACTAGGCATCATTTGTCAACATATCGAATGCCTTTTCCCAATTTTCAAATGTCTGTCAAGAACCAACGCTGGGAACTGCCACTATTTGTCTAGCTGGAGAATGGGGTCTTTAAAGAAGCTGAGACACACAAAAAGATACATTTCACAAGAAACATTTATTTTTGCAGGGCTACTTCAGACTAGTAGTTAATCTAGAGAAGCAATAATTACACAATTACACTTCCATCCAAGGTGACTCAGGGGAGGTACCTGCAGGACATTATTCAACCTGTGAACTGTTAGTGCCGAGGTGATTTTACCGACATAAAAATTCCTAATTATTCTTCCTTCAGTGGTACTTTGAAGACAGTGGCAGACCGCGGCTCCGAGGTGCCGGTCACCAGAAACAACCACCATACCTGTCACTCCCGCACACGTTAACCTTTTAAAGCCGCTTTCAGTTAGACAACCTCATCCTGACAAAGACGACGAGCTGCCTCCTCCTTCCTTCCTCTCTACCCCCTCCACTCACCTCTGCACCCCAACGGCCGCCCCAACGGCCGCGTCCCGCGCATGCGCTCAGACCCCAAGCTGACCGCTAGGGGCACCCCGGCGGAGGAGTAGGGAGGTGGGGCGTCCGCAGGATGTACGCAGGGCTGTCGGGCGGGAAGTATGGCGTCATTGGTGCGCGCTGTGGAGCATCGGTGAGCCGGAGGGATGTCGCCGCCGCTCTTCAGCCTGCCCGAGGCGCGGCACCGCTTCACGGTGAGCCCTGCCGGGCCCATTAGACACCCTCGTTTGATATCGGGTGGGAGGGTCTCTGCGTCTGCGCGCCGGTGGAGGGCTCCGCCTCTGTGGCCGCGCCGCACCGCACCGTCCGGGCTCGGTGCTGGGCCCGCAGGCCCGGGTCTCCTTTAACGAGCGTTCAGCTCAGCTGAAATAAAGCTTTATGTTTTGGGACAGGGTTTCATACTCCCCCAGCTCAGCCCACCAAGAGGAGGATCTGCTCTTTAGTTAGCTAATATTAATGAGAAATAAATTACGGCATAACTCCCGCAGCAAAACGTCTGTTGTTTATTATGCTTGTCTCTTTTGTGCCTCTGCTGAATGATGCTTTTCCATGTCCAGAGCAGGTGGGGCTGGATGTGTGCTCAGGCTTCTGGAGACCACCGTTTGTGGCCCAGTTTGTTGAACAGAGGGGTTAGGTTTGCACAGGAGTGTTTGAGGCACAGACGCCTGGTGCCATAAGATTGATTTCATTACAAGATACTGTAATTTTTATACCAGCTTTTTAGCAGGAGTCATGGCCCAGGCTGCCATAGACTACCTGTAAGGCAGGTGAAATTGGGGGTGTAGGTGGGAGCACAGTTGAGGCTGCTGCAGATGCAGTGTCGACTGCAGCAGTGTATTTGTCTGTGTTTTGCTTCACCACACTGTTAGCCCAGGTTTGGGGTGTGATGCACTGCTAGCTCACGTCTAATTGCCTAGGGACTTACTTGCTGTATGGTGTCTCCAAATAGATTCCTTGGTATTTCTGTCCACTGTCAAATAGAGGAAAGAGGATATCTGTCTGGTTTTGTACTGGTTTTGTAAGCTTGCTTTCTTTACATATTGGTAGACATCCACCAGAGAGGCCTTGAATGTCAAAAGTATCAAGCCATTACTGAGCGCATTTAACCAGATTCCTGGGAGGTAAGTAAATGCTGCTTGGTTTTAAAAGGTGCCTATTCAGGTACCTTTTTAATAATCTTTACCTTAGTGGTTGTTATTAACTAATGTGGAATGTTTGCATTTGCAGTGAAAATGAAAAGAAGTGCACCTTGGATCAAGCTTTTAGAGTCATTGTAGAAGAAGAAATAGTAAGTACTTTAAAATGCTACAGCTTATTTCTTGATAAAGCTCAAATTTCTGTTTGCAAGTTAATGTATTAATAGCAGCTTACTTTAATATAAGGACATACTGTGTATTAAAAACATGCATTATATAAGAGTTACCTAATTATGGTATAATGTAGATTATTAAAGGAGATTGGTAGGTTGAACAGAATGGCAGTATTTTATAGATACCACAGCACAGCAAGACCTTCTGACTTAGCCTTTTCCAGCAGTTTTTTTGTAATTCTTATGAAAGTCTGCTATTTAAAATTCTAGTTCATAAATACGCGTTATTCTGCAGCTGTACATTTAAGGATGGGATGGAGTGGGTTATCTGTTACTAACATGTAACAAAGCTGCCTGTCAACTAAAAAGAATAATGAATCAAATACTGTTTTTATTGATATTGATTGAATGAAGGCTGAATGTGGTATGCTAATTTTCAGAGGTAAATGACTCTCTACACAGTAGATATTGTAGGGTCTTTAGCAGCTAGAAGCAGTCAAGAAATGTTGCTCACTCAATAAAAACATCATGTTAGCTGACATATCTGATTTAATAGATAGAAGTTTTGGGAAGTTGAATGCCAGTATTTGTTTTAAGTATGCCCAGTTGGAAGCAAGGATTTTAGTTTAGTTAGACGTATTTAAGTCAGCATAGCCAAAGTGTAACACTGTCTTTCTTGTTTAGATAAACAAAGCCCCATGTGAAAATCTCCTGGCAATTATTTCTCTTGCTATTAATGGAGTCACAGAAGGTGAGCGTCTTTCTCTCAAATTTGTTGGCAGTTTAAAATTCCCCTAAAATTAGGGGAATTTTAAAATCCTAGTTTTTGTAAGTTACCTGCAGCGTTAACTTTGTTAATATGTGGCCCTTACACTAGCGGTTACGAAGTCTGTTCTATGAGAGAAATGCCTTCTAATTAAATTCATGTGTATGTGTAGCATTTGTGTTGTTTGGTTTGTTTGTTGTTTGTTTTTTTTTAATAGAGGAAGATGCATGGGTTTAGTTGAAACATAATTAGCATTTTCTTTGTCCATCACTGTAAAATGCTTAGAAGTCTCCCATCATCATTTTAGAGATGAGACTACTGAGGCAGAGAGGTTAGATGACTTGTAGGTTTCTCTTGTCAGTTGCTGACAGAGCCAGAAATAAGTCTTCCTGGATATCTCTGCTCAGATTGTATCTGTCAGTACAGGACCGGTTTTTAGATACTTGAATCCATTTGTATAACTGCCCTTTCTGTCAGAAATCAATGTTCTAACCTCTTTTGAAGAGGCTTTTGCAGTCTTCCCTTTGTTTATTCATATCACACGTCAAATACTTGTTTGTTTTAATAAGTACAGCTCAACTGCATATGTGTTTTATGAACTGTAGAATAACAAGACCTGTAATTATAAGGAATTCAGACATTGCCTAACTACAGAGCATGGGTAGACTGTCTTGGTGCACTGCTTTTGTGGTGCTTTACATGAAGAAAAGACTTGGACTTTATGGGCCTGTGTAGTGTAACTAACTGTGGATTTAGAAGTCTGAAGGAGTTCACTTGCAGTCTGCAAAAAGATGTGGTGTTGTTTCTGACTTTGAGGTTTTTACTACAGTTATTCTTTATTACTTGCTTTATATTAATGCAAGGCTCTTGTGAAGCTCATGTGCATGTGTGCACATCCAGAAATAGCTTTACTGGAAGTTCACACTTTAGCCCAAGCTTTTTATTTTGTTTTCTTCTGTTAGGATTTGTAGAAACCCAGGAGAACTTTTTTTCTTCTTTTTTATTTTAACATAATGTCTCTCAGCTATCATGCATCTTTACTACATTTCAGTTCACTTAATAAAATATTCCCCGTTCCTCATAGGTATCTGCACTGCATCAACCCCTTTTGTGCTTCTGGGAGATGTTCTGGATTGTCTGCCCTTGGATCAGTGTGACAGAATTTTCACTTTTGTGGAGAAGAATGTTGCTACATGGAAATCGGTAGGTATTTGTCCAAAATGTGATATAGTTTTACCAGAACTTCTGTCCGCCTGAACCATGTTTACAAACAGATTTTAACTGTCTTTGTATCTGCTTCTGTTAAAGTAGCAGCATTGATCACGTTTTGTTTCAAGGCTTAAATTTCTGGGGAGCAGAGGTCAGAAAATTAATAATTAAAAAACATCATAATTGCTTTATTTCCAATCGTTTTGTTTGTTTGTTTGGGGTTTTTTTACACTATACAGATTTTGTCGCATTTAGAAACTAGAAATAATGCACAATTTGCATGAGTAGCTTCTCTGTTGACTTACTATTCAGCTTCTTCCTCAGAGCTGAAGGAGATTCTTCCACCCCTAATTTGAGAGGGGGAGAAGTCTTCTTGGTCACTTGCTTAATGAGCTTTCTCTTACCAGACTATAGCAACAGTGAATATGTTGCCCAGGAATATCTCTGGTCTCGAGGAGCAATCAGTTTTGAGGCCCGTGTGAAGGTTTTATGCTCTTGGTGTGCCATGGTGCTATAGCAGGAGAATTGCTGCTGCAACAGGCTGTTGTACTTCTTGTGCTGCAGCCACTGTTAATTAAAGAGGGAATTCCAGGTCTCAGACAGAGGTCCTAACCTGCCAGCGTTTTATTCCAAGGTGATAAGAAACCTTGGATCTTGGTATATCCTTGGTTTGCTCTTTGTCAGTAGTGCCAGGAATGCAACTCTATAGGTAACAGTTGAAAATCACTCAATTTTCTCTGATTTCTTAACCAGGACTACTTCCCATAAGCATTTATTCAGGGTGCTCTGTTTCAGCTAGTATTGTGTCTCCTGATATATTCACAAACTCCAGTTCTTTCTTCTGCTGCCATGTTACTGGTACTATTAATACTCCTAATACTCTTGCATGGAATAATAAAAGCAATGAGTAAAAATTAGTGTGTTCCAGAAAAGAATGCAGGTGCTGCTCCTGCAGTTCACTGTCACATGGGGGTTTTCTGTATGGAAGCTGGATTTAAACATTGTGGCTTATGCTTGCTTGGAATGTATGGGACTGTTTCTTTTATGTTGCCTTTTCATGAAACCTGCTTCTTATTTAAAGGAAGATTCTAATTCAGAGGCAGTAGTAGGAATGACTTATGACTTACTTATGGCTTGTGAGTGAATGAAAATCTACTCAAGAAGGTTTTGTGACCTGCTAATGAGCTAAATACCTTTACTCCATTTCAGAATACATTTTACTCTGCAGGGAAAAACTACTTGCTACGAATGTGCAATGGTGAGTTTTTCAGGGTGGTAATTTTTCAGGGGAGTGGTCAGGAATTAAAGAATTCCCTATCTCAGCAAATAGAAGAAAGTTTAATAATTTGATTTACATTCAGATGCATTCAATAAGTAATCAAGTTAAAAGGCAGATCACACAGCAGATATTCTTAAGTATTGTTGATTAATGTAAAATTTGTTCTGACCTTGGGGAAATCTCTTCACCTGTGGAGGTTGTTAAGAACATCCAAGAAGTATTCCGCAGCAGTGACAAGGCCCATACCAAATGCTGATTTGAGTAGAATTCATTTGAACTTATTTTCTATTGCTATTGAAGGTGTTGGGAAAATTGGTAGAATGCATTTGGAAAAAAATACAGCCAATCTGAGAAAATGACTACTGTTTAAATTTGCAAATCTTGGTTTCCTTTCATTAGCTATGTCGTTCATGTCATTAGGAAGTCTTAAATTCTAGCATGTGAGAAATGAGAAGAGGAATAAACACTAATTCTTTACATTTTTGTAATATTTAGACCTCCTAAGAAGATTATCTAAGTCACAAAACACAGTCTTCTGTGGAAGAATTCAGCTGTTCTTGGCTAGGTTATTTCCACTTTCAGAAAAGTCAGGTGAGAATTTTTTGCATTGCATTACACTTAACATTTAACAAAAATGCTGGATCTTCTAAGTTTATGATGGTAACAGACCAAATCCAGTTGGAGGAAGTCAGTTTGCACTTGTGTATCTTAGTTCTTGTCTCTGCCTTAAATATTGTAAGTGACCTTCATTTGTTGTGATTTCAAACACAGGTTTTAAATGCTGTTTCTGAGAATTTAATATCAGCATCTCATAAACAACTAACTGTATTAATAGACTTGCATATCATTGCATATCAACTTCACAGATTCTAAGACTGGCCCTCTGTTTTTCACAGGACTTAACTTGCAGAGCCAGTTTAACTTGGAAAATGTTACTGTCTTCAATACCAATGAACATGAGAGCACTCTAGGACAGAAGGTGAAAATTCCTGTGCCGTTTTTCTTTCATTCTGCGGTAAACGTGTTAGGCTGTTCACACAAAAACATGCTCATGTGCTTAATAATCAGAACTGTATGTTCATTATTTGGCTGTTGCTCTCCTAGACCAAGCTGCTGAAATAGGCATGTTACCTGGTACATTAAACTGTGCAGACTTTGATGGGGAAAAAAGGTGATCTGATTGTGAGGGATAAGCACTGTCACTGCCTGTACTAAGCGTTCTGCACAGTGTATGGAGGATAGAGCTGTCCTTTTGGCTTTTTCCAAGAGAAGTCAGGCTACAATTGCAAAGAGTAGTAAGGTGCTAAAACAGGAATTTGTTATGTGTTTTACTGGAATAATATTTTAGAGATCTTTTGAAGTACCAGCTTAAGCTTTCTGATCTGAAGTGTAATAGAATGTTTAAAATAAAGACTGTGAGAACTGTGTGCAAGTAACAGTGGCATTTGTATAAGTCTTACCTTATTTTTCCCTATTAGCACACTGAGGAGAGAGAAGAAGGAATGGATGTAGAAGAAGGTGAAATGGGAGATGATGAAGCACCAACAAGTTGGTGAGCTTGCAACAGTTTTAAAAGTTGAGAGAAAACTTTCCAAAGTGAAAGTGGGAGATATCCTTAAATGTTGTGCTTGGAATTCTACTTGTCTCCTGCCTGCTCAAGATTAGCTACAACCTAGCAGTGTCTTAATCTGTTTAAATGGAGTTGCCTGGAAGAGAAAGAAATAAGTAGATTGTTTGTTTGAAGAAGTTGCATACCCAGACTGAGAAGCACTGCTATTCTCTTTGGCAGTTTTTCCAGTTACCTTGACAAAGCTTGTTCTGGTAAGATGTAATCAGTACATGCTATATATGCTTTTAGGAGAAAAAGCTGTGCTCCCCGTCATTACCCAGATGGTGAAAATCTCCTAAAATCCCTTTTTCGATTTTTGCTTTAATGGTAAGAAAATACAGTACTGGATCAAAAACTCCTTCAGGGACAAATTCTGAATTACAGATTTCTCTGTTAGGACTCAGTGTTGTCTGTATTTCACTTACAAAAGTGAATTGTATTTTCTGTGATTGCAGGTTCCTGAGTAGATTCTAATTTAACACATTGCTTTCATTTTATTTTTTCTTTTCCCCCCAGTTCCATTCCAATAGATTACAACCTGTATAGAAAATTCTGGTCACTTCAAGATTATTTTAGAAATCCTGTGCAGTGCTATGAGAAGGTCTCATGGAAAACTTTCCTTAAGGTAACACTGAGTTCATGCTTTCAGTCATTAGGCCTAATTAAAAAATCACCATTTACACAAGTAGGAGAGCGAGTTCACAAGGATAGAACACTTCAAATGCTTATGCTGTTGACAAAGAGTAGTGCAAGAGAAAATACATTTTTCTGTTTTCTGAAGTGAGCCTTTGACAGTAAACAGTATATTAAGATGTACAGTAAACCCCCTAAAAAACTTGTGTAATTCCATAACAGACTTCATATGTTGCAACAGTGTCAGAAGAAACTTTGTGATTTATTAGCTGCAAAAGCAGCACTTGTTTGGGTTTGTTGTTCTGCCCCCCAGAAAGATAAATGGTCCTACCTAGTCTTAAATCGTAGTTTTGAACAGTCATATTGATCCCAGTCAGATCCTGAAGAGGATAGGTTCCTAATGGAGCAAATGGAAGAGAATGTCCCTCAGCCAGCTGTTTCAGTTTTGCTTAGTATGAATGTTGAGGATGGTTTATTGCTAAGCTGCTGTTTCTTCACAATTTGCCACTCAATATTTACTAAATAAGAAGCCTGAGACTTTTTTTGATCTTCATTCTGTGTTCTGGTAATAAAAGGTAACATCTGCTCAGACTTCCTAATATAAATCTGGTTAATGAGGTCTACATTTTCAGCTTTGGGGCAGGGAACCCAACAAAAGCCCCAACATGTGGTGCAGAGAAACTGAACAAAGTCAGGCTTAATTCTTTCAGCTGAAAATTTTATCTCGTTGCAGCTTTAGGGCTCTGAATTGAATTTAAGAGCAGCACTTCAAATTTAACCCTCATGTCTGTACCTTTTTTTGTATATATTCTGAACAGCTTAAACTCTGTTTAATATAGCACTGTTGTCATGTGTACCTTTTCTCCTTCTAACATCTATACAGCAAAGCAGTTATGTACTGTTCACAATCCATAACATTGTTTTTCTTGGTATATTTTAAGTACTCCAAATGATTAGATGCTCTGAAATGATAAATAATGCTTTCACTGTCATTTATGGAGGCCAGAGAAGCCCTACGCATTGGTGGCAAATGGGTTGTTTCAACTAGCTGGTAGGATGTTTAAAAGTGATTTTACTTGCTTGGCACTAAGTCTAGTGTAGTTCTCTAACTACAAAGCTTTTGTATTATTTTCAATGTGGTAAATAACTGTTTTATAGTACTCGGAAGAAGTTTTGGCTGTTTTCAAAAGTTACAAACTGGACGACACTCAGGCTTCCCGAAAAAAGTTGGAAGAACTAAAAACAGGAGGAGAACATGTCTATTTTGCTAAGTTCTTAACGAGTGAAAAGGTATGTGATTTCTTTTCTCATAATCACAGACTAGTTGAGGTTGGAAGGAACTGCTCTCTAGATAAACCTCTCTGCCCAAAGCTCTCAGCCAGAGCATGTTGATCAGCACTACATCCAGCTGGGTTTTGAATGTCTGCACAGATGGAGACTTCACGGTTTCTCTGAATATCCCGTTACATTGTTTGATCACTTGATATAGATTTATTGTATTCTTTTTCATTCTTTTTGCCTATTGCCTCTGTTAATTGATGATTTATGAACTCCTGTTTCTGGAATAGGGTTCTGCAGTAAAGCTGACCTATTTATTGCATTTGATTTGTATTGTTACATGTTGGGGTTTTATTGCTTTTAGAATTGTATTTCCAAAACTTGGCTGATGTGCTAACTATATTTTCTGCCTCATAATGGCCTTGTTTAAAATTGCTTTGAAAAAGATGTTGAGAGGTTTTAATTCTGTTAATATTGAGTTAAAAATACAATGCTCTGTTGGATTTAATCCTGAAATTGTTGTCTTCATTTTGGAATAATATGTAACTTCAACTTTTAATTGCATGAGTTAGTAGATGACAGAAAGCAAGTCGTGGTGCAGCATGAGTTTTTCTGGGATAGAAGAGTAGGTAAATTCATCAAAATCCTTTGACCTGTGTATTTATAGTTTTAAAATAACGTAGTAGAGAAAATACAGAACCAGTTGCTTAATCAACACCCAGCAGTCAAAGGCCTTCTTCAGAGAATCTTCAAATGTTCGCTTTGTGTGATCTACCGTGCTGCAGCACACAGGCTAGAAACCAACCAGAGTATCACTGTCTGTTGATGAGAGTGAATGCTTCCGTGATAGCCAAATCCTGATGTTGTAGGCAGTAGTACATAGGAAAAGGGAGGAAGCTGTCTTTCAGCTTGCTGAAATATTGGAATATTTGGTTTTCCAAATTCTTGTTCAGTTCAAAGTGAAGCGCTGCCCTGAAAACATATGTGATACTAAATAGAGCTTCTGTAATGACTTGCCATCATCTTGTAAATTTACTCTGTGTAGAGTTTACCAGAAAACATTTGTTGGACTTTTTTGCTTTTGTGTGTCTAGTGTCGTTAATGTATAATTCTCTTTTTGTTTAGCTGATGGATTTACAGCTGAGTGACAGTAACTTTCGCCGTCACATCTTGTTGCAGTATTTAATACTATTTCAGTACCTAAAAGGACAGGTCAAATTTAAAAGGTAATGTGGAAATATTTTGTGTTTTGGGGATGGGGAGCTAAAAACTTGGAGATATCTCAAAATATTTTCAAAGAGTTTGTCTACGTGTTCTGAGGTTCTTGTGAAACCTGCAGAGCCTTGCACTGAGGCAGGATGTGGCTGAAGTTGTTTTACAGCAGGAAAGTGGAGGTCTCATTCTTGCCTTTCTCTGCTCCTCTGCATGATTCTTTTCTCTTCTCTTGCTGGGGCTATAGTGCTCATTAGACTTATGCAAATTTGTGCAGTTTACTCAGCCAGCAAAAACCCAATCTGTTCATCTTCGCAGAGTTAGTTTTCTGCCAAATTGGTGAGTATAGTGGGGTATCAGAGAGGTAGGGGCCATGAAAGTTTGGTTAAGGTGAGTGCCAGCCATGAGAGGGAAGAAGGCTTTCTTCTGCATATCCATGATCATGTTCATATTTATGGTATCCAGTGCTTCATTAAAAAGCTGGTTGGTGTTATCTTGCTTTTGAACACTCTAATGGGAATGTTGATGGTTATGTTTCAAATTGGCTCTTCTTGGACCAGTGGAAAACAAAGATTAGATTCTCATCTGGTTGGGATTTTTATGTGTTTAAAAAAGTTCTGGTCTCTGCTTGGGAGTGAAGTGGGCCACGTTGGATTTATTTCTGTGTTCTTTTCACTTCTGATCACTGATGCATTATCATTCTAGATGTACCAAGCGACTTGTTTAACGACTTCAGGTTGTGCTATATAGATTTTACACTTTGAGATATTCAAGGTGTGTATTCTGTATACAGCTGGTAGATTAGTTTGTTTCTTTTTCTGTGGTTTGCCTACAGTACAACCAGCTTTAGCTGGGGTTAGAAGAATTGGGTTATTTTGGGTTTTTATTTTAAATCTTTTCATTGTGCACACTTGCTGTGCTTTGGTCCCAACATCAAGATGAGTTGTGCAAATGGGCTTCCTATTGGATGAAGGTGAAACTTGAATGAATATTCCCCAAGCACATCTAGTTAAGTCCACAAACCAGGAAGTGGTCAGTCCATGGGACCAGACCAGAGCACATTCAGAGTACTTTCTTCAGAACCTCTCTAACACCCCTCAGAAAGTGTGTAGTGTAAATGGTATGTCCTCAGTGTTATTTTGATGTGCAGTAAACGCTTCAATATTTTTTTTTAAGTAAGCTGATTTAGTGACACTTTTTATTCTTTTTTTTTTTTTCTCCCCCAATTCCAGTTCAAACTATGTTCTTACAGATGAGCAGTCACTTTGGATTGAAGATACTACAAAAGCGGTTTACCAGGTTGGTAGAGTAGGTACTTCTATAAAAATTGCATGAACAAATATCTAGCATGTAATATTGTATCAAGCACTTTTGAAGCAGTAGCCAGGATTTTCTTTGTGTTTTTTTTTCTCTATGTATTCTGTTACAAACACAATGCAAAAAGTTAACTTTTTTTCTCTCTCCCAATTGTAGCTTCTTTCAGAAAATCCTCCAGATGGGGAAAGATTCTCGAAGATGGTAGAAGTAAGTACTTTGGTGTCTGTCTGAACCAATCTATGTATTGCATAAATTAACTTTTGGGACACATACATAGTAATTGAGAGGAGTTCTATCTCATCTCAGTAAAAAATATAACATCTTTTTATTTTAGTCATATTTTTCCCATGTTTTTATTAATCTGCTTTTCCTTCTCCTGGGGACAAGTGGAAATGTGCATATATGTGCTCGGCTGCCTATAGGAGAGAGGGGTTATTGAAACTCCTTTGCAGAAAGGAGTGTTGTGCCCCAAAGACATGGGAGTAAAATGCAAGTGAAATTAAAAACAAAACTAAAAGCTGTGTCATCTTGCTTTCCTATCTTCTTTTAGTTCAGTTGCATCTATTTTCTTGTTTAGAGAAGAAGAAATAAAGCCTTTCCCGCAGTTATTGAAGAGAGAAGATAAGCTTTTTGGAATAAACTAAAGCCTCTGTTTCAGATTATACTGATGACTTTCAAAAAAGTGACTGAAATACACTGTAACAAAATTTTCCCCTTCATTTTAGTACTCTGTTAAAAACTTTGGGTTCAATTCTGAAGGTTATTATGACCCTAGTAATGTGCAATATTATGTTTCTCCAGCATATATTAAATACTGAAGAAAACTGGAACTCATGGAAAAATGAAGGCTGCCCAAGCTTTGTCAAAGAAAGGTAACTATTCTGAAGTAATAATATGATTATTATTATATAAGTAATAATAATGAAAATGATGAAGTAATGCCTGCTGTTTGTTTGAAATGGTGGTTCAGCTTTAGAGTATGTACCCACAGTGTATATGACCATTAATGATTCACACAAATTTAAGATTTGTTTAGTTGGATTTCCCTTCTGTGTATGCAGAAGGCTCTTAGATTTCTGCCAAAAAGTCTTAAGGCTTCATTATGTCAGTGAAGAGGTGGTTATGAATGTATGAAGTTTCAGGAGAGCATTCCTCACTGTCTCATGACAACATTTTGTTCTCTTAATACCAAGCATCCAGTGGCTGAGGCAGACCCTAGCTTTAAGACACTGGTGCCTGACTTGCCCATCTGTCGCTTTGGATTGCTGCTAGCAAAGCTTTTAGCAGTATGGCTTTGGTGGGGCAGCAGACCTGGAGTTTTGTGTAACAGTTCTCCTCTTACGCCGTTTAGTTACTGGGCTTGCCACTTGGTGGTGATCACTTACCTACCTCAAAGGGAATTATGATTAGGTGGCTTTCGCCACTGAAAGGTTTGCTGTGTAATTAGTTACCAGCTAGTGGCAAAACTTACACTCTGACTCCATATGTCTACTTGACTGCTGTGAGGTGGTGACCAAACATTCCTTTTCATCCTCCTTCAGTCTGCACACAGACTATAGGCTCTTCGTGGTAATGAACATCTGGGGCATGATGTCACTGCACATCTCCTTTTGTGGAGAGATCAGGTGGAGCCACCTCCTCATGATTTTAACTGTTTGTGAAAAAGGGAGGGGGGCTGTGAGAAGAGAGAAATGACTGTTGCAGAGGGGTTGTGAAGTAAAATCATGAAATTTGACTTTTATAAATGTTCTGTCTCCTTCTTTAGATCTCAGCCAGAGTTTCAGCTTGGGTAGGTCTTACCCTCACTTCAGTGGTCTGGGATCTCCATTCTCTGATCCCATGAAATCAGGTGCACCTGGGGGAAAAGAACTTGCAATCATAGAGCAGATGATCCCAGCAGCAGGGTAGATCATTCTTAGTATGTGCTGCTGGCAGAAACATGATTTACTTTTTCTGTATTGGGACTCTGGTAGACCTTTCAGTTTGTGAGTGAACTAATTTTGGTGTCTGGTAAATTTCTTTCCTTATCCCTACTTTACCTTCTCTCTCCTCTCACCCCCACTTTCTTCCACTACTAGAATCTCAGTCCTTCTGAATACTTCCATTATGATTTAACTGGGTACCATCTGAAATGGCTTGATTTTGTTCTTTAAATGTTATTGGTTTGATGCTAAAGAGCATCCTTTTTCCTGTAGGCCTCCTGATTCTAAACCAATGAGGCCGGTGAGAAAGAGGCCAGCTCCAGAGGACTTCTTAGGAAAAGGACCAAATAAAAAAATCCTTATGGGGAAGTATGTTGGATTTTTTTTTTCATTACAGGTTTCAGTTGGTTGGTTTGGGGGGGGGGTTGGGGGCTTGGTTTTTTTTTGTTTGTTTTTTTTTTTTGACACTGTATGTTTTTCTAGTCAGTAATTTTCAAACTTCCTCGTTTTGGAACAGCCATGGAATATGTCATTCTTTTAAAGCTCACAGTAGGGTTCCTTTCCTTATAATCGTCTCTTGTAGATCCCTTTTAAATAGTCTGTAATTTACGGACTGAAAATCCATTTTTTCATTTGTTGGATCAGTTTCATTACTTCTGTCCTCTTTGTTTTTGCTTAAAATGTTTCTGTGCCATGGGTTTTAAAATAACACTCACTGATAATCTTATTGCTAGGGCAAAGATGTCTTCTTGATAGGCCCTCTCCAATAGAAGTGCCATTCACACTAAGTGCTGTATTTTCTCACTTCCTTCTTTTGGAGAAATTACAGTCTAATTATTGTAGCAGTTCACCTAGCCTAGATGTAGAAATTTTGACCTTGAGTTTCAAGACTACTGAGTGTTTAGTAAAATGTCCCCTCTGAAAAAGATAATGATAAATTATTTCATTTATCGAAACAGTATGGCCTGACCTTGGCTGGCTTGGAAAGAGAGTTTGTTACTGTTGCTGACCACAGATCAGCAGGGGATTCTACCAGAATTTTAATGTGTAATTTTCCATGTATGCAACCTCATATAAGATTTGTCACTTCTGCTAATTCCTTATACGTATTATCACAAGGTTTGTATGATATGCTTTATTATAAAGGCCTTGAGGGGAAAATTTCTGTAGTATTGTTTCATGTGTCCGTCTGTGGTGAATGATGGAACAGGAAGTGATAGAATGATGAATGGGAGTTTGACATGTGTTTATGCTTCTCTTTTCAGTGAGGAACTGACCCGCCTTTGGAATTTATGTCCTGATAACATGGAAGCTTGTAAATCGGAGAGTAGGTAGGTAAAAAATGATATGTCATTCTCTAAATGTCTAATGCTGACTTTCAGTACTCTACTTACACAGGCAATTACAATCATTACAAAATTGGCATAAGGAAAGCATGTAGAATGGTCTTACATCATATGCCATTTCACTGTGTGTCTTGGAGAGGAGTTGGTTTATGAATCTTTGTCTTGAAATCTCCTTAAAGTTTTCATCGCTAGTGTTTAATCTTGGAATCTCCTTACAGTTTTCTTCATTACTGCTTATGCTGTCAGTAACTTTCATTACTTAGTAAAGTAAAATAAGCTGAAAAACAGATGGGAACTCCCATTTTGTAGAGCATGATTGTCTAATTAATTACCTTATATAGTAAAGGAAGGTTGCCAAGTGTGGCTGTAATGAAGTTAGCATGCTATTTGGCTGCGTTTTCCGAAGAGGCATGTGCTTTGAACAATACTGGATGAGAGGAAATCAGTTAGCAAGCATTGTTTTGTTGCATACTGGATCTACTAGTGGTGCAGATGTAGAAAAATACAATTATTGTTTATCCCTCCTGCTTGCACAATTGTAGGAAACACTGAAAATGTACTTTGCTGTGTAACTTTGTTTGTTATAAATAGCATAACCCTTTCTTGTGCAGACGTGATACCTAGTATGAAAATTTGGAAAAGGACTGGGACAGTTCCCAAAGAGAGCTATGCTAGTGGCAGCTGTAAAGGCTGGGTACCTTGGGGAGGGGTGCCAGCTGTGCTGACGTCGTGAGTGGAGGAATTGCTTTTGCAGAGGTTGGGAGCTGTGCAGAGGAAGTGCCCTCCTTTCTTGTGAGGCTGGGATGCGCAGGAAGGCCTCTGACAGGATACTTGCATTTACTAGGCCAAGGACTAAAGGTGGAGTTGTGTCTGGAAGCCAAGCTTTTGATTCCCTGTGAATGATTGTATTGTGCTGCAACTTCTTCAAGTAAATAAATAAATAAAAGGAAACAAAGGGAGATAAACCAAGACAGTGCATGCCATGGTAAACAGGAAAGAGAAGATCCATGGGGGTCTGGATTCGGTTCTAAGCTCTGTTACAGACTTTGTGACTGAATGTAGTCAAGTGACTAACTTTTTGCTTTGGTTCCTCATGCCTTCATTCAAATGGGATAATCCTTCCTTATCTTTTTAGATAGCTGTTTGTGGGATAATATAGCAGGATTCAAGCTAAATGGGTTATCAAGCTGCTTGCTTTGGTTCCACTAATCAGTGATAAAACTACACTTAAACATGCATGATGCAGTGCTTCCCTGGGCAAAACACGATTTTCACAACAAAATTAAAGTGAATTTGTAGACCAGTGTGCTTCTTTCCATGCCCCAAATGATTATAAGGTTCACTTGCAGAAGCAGCTGTGCCTCTGTCAAATATTTAAGGAAAACCACAGATCATTATGAGCTTGCTTTGTACCACTGACAGTCTTAGCTTACAGTAACCTACAGCTCTTGAGTAATCTGTATTTCTTGCTTGCAGTCTTCAAAGCAGCAAATCGCTATCCTGATCATTGTGAATATTATTTGGTGGGGCTTTTTTTTAGGTTATGATTCCTTATGTACTTGTTTGAATACCTTTCAGAAGCAACCATTAGCTGTTCTGAGAGCAGAAACATTGGTCAGCTCTTTCATATGTCCCATATGAACCATAAAATGTTGTCTTTTAAATCACAGAAGAGCTGAGGTCGGAAGGGACCTCTAGAGTTCACCTAGTCCACCCTCTTGTTCACAGCAGGGTCAACCAGAGCGAGTTGCCTAGGGTCTTTGCCAGTCAGGTTTCACACATTCTGAGTGGAAAATCCACAACCTTCCTGGGCAGCTCATTTCAGTGTTTGATCACCCTCACAGAAAAGTTGGGGGATTTTTTCTAATGCTGAACTGGAATTTCCCGTATTTCGATTTGTGCCAGCTGCTGCTGGTACTTCCACTGGGTAGCATCCAGCCTGACTCTTTGTTCCTTATTGCCCACATCAGCTATTTCCTGCCCCTGAGCCCTCTCTTCTCCAGTGTAAACAGTCCTGGCTCACTCACTCTCTTGGATGTTAGGTGTTCCTGTCCATGACAGCCTTTTGCATTGACCCATATGCTGGGGAGCCCAGAACTGGACCTAGCACTCCAGATATATGTTGCCAGTGCTTAGTAGAAGGGAAGGATCCTTTTGCTTGACCTACTGATAACCATCTTGTCAATGCAACCCAGGGTGCTGCTGGCCGCCTTTGCCAGAAGGTGCATTGCTGGCCCATGTTCATGGTGGTGTCCACCAATACCTCTTCTAAAAGCTGCTTTCCAAACAGTCCCCAGGCTGTGCTGGTGCCTGCGGTTGTTCCTCCCCAGGGGCAGAAATTGTAATTTCCCTTTCTTGAACTTCATGAGATTCCTCTTGACATCCCTCTGAATGGCAGCACAACTCTCTGGTCTGTCAGCCACTCCTTCCATTTCTACATTGCAGACTTGCTGAGGGTGCACTCTGTCCCGTCATCAGTAAGTCAGTAATGAAGGTGCTAAATAATACTGGTCCCAGAATCGAACTACTGACAGGCCTTGAGCTCATGCCATTGATCACATCTCTCTGAGCCCAGGAGCTCAGATGCTTTTCAGTCCACTTCAAATGAATTATTTCTCCTGATACCTGTAGATGTTGGATCTGTATTGAATGTACGTTAACTGAGTACCTTCAGCAGAAGGTGGAAGGGTCATCGTTAATGAAGTTGGGGAGCCACTAAGATGGAATCATTAAGTATAACATGTAACATTAAGCTGCCTTGTGTTTTTCCCCCTCTAAAATTAGTGATCGTAAATAACTGAAATTGTGGAGTAATGGTAATGTAGTTTTCTCTGGTAGCAGATGACATTGAAATAGGGGGTGAGGGTTGATGAGGCCATGTTTTACTTGTTCTGTGAAATTGCACAAAACAGCCCCTTTGGAGTCTTGAGCACTTGTGAGCTGTGCGAGTGGCAGCATGTTTCTGACACAGCCAGTCAGTTGTTACAGGTGATTCTGTAAAGGTCGCATTTCCATATTGCCACAATTCTTGTCTTGGGTCCCATTGTCCTTTTTCACCAAATGCCACTGACATGTTCGTGTCACCTTTTGGTATGACAGAAGGTTTAAACACACACAACACAGAGCAGTAGTGACCACTGGTACCCTTCAGTGGCTATAATCAGCAAATAAATTCATAGCAGATTTTATATCAGGTGGTCATTTTGTAACAACACATATTGAACAGATTCTTTGCTTATTTGCAATTGTTGAATTTGAGTAGAATGGTTTGGGGTTGGGGTTTTTTTCCTTCAGTGGATAAGCTTGAGATGTGTATGAAGGAATTCAAAACCAGCTACTTCAGAGCAGATTGTGAGGAGTATTAAGCTCCTTAATTTTCTTTTCCAGGGAATATATGCCAACGTTGGAGGAATTTTTTGAAGAAGCTATTGAACAAGCAGACCCTGAAAACATGGTTGAAAATAAGTATAAGTACGTGAATCTTTGTTGTGTTTCACCTCATCTTGATCTCTTTCATGTATGGATCGGTAAAAGAAAACAGACTGTTCTCTGCATTACTAGTATCTGTGCGGGACTCAAGTCATGTACAAAAAATGCCTAAGTGTGGACAGAATTATATTGATTAGTAAATGCCACAGATCTTTTTCTGTGCTTGTCTAGATGTCAGACTGTTACCAACCAAGCCTGTATTTTATTGTAGGGCTGTGAACAACTCTAACTATGGCTGGAGAGCACTGAGGCTTCTAGCACGCAGAAGTCCCCACTTCTTCCAGCCAACAAACCAGCAATTCAAGAGTTTACCTGAATATCTAGAAAACATGGTAATCAAATTAGCCAAGGAGCTGCCTGTAAGTAATACTATCCTACAATAATAAATGCTGAATTCATCTGACATCCTGCTTGTCTCTCTGCAGTCCATTCGGTACATGGGAGGGAAGGGAGAGAAAAAAACACTGTGAAGATCCCAGTAACACCAAACTAAGCAACACCAACTAACCGAGGAAGTGCTGAGCTCTGCTTGTACTCTGGAAAGCCAGCTGTGGCAGTCCCATTTGTAGGCAGGAATACATGTGTACCCCGTGACTTGGGTTCCGTGTTGCAGCACACGCAGAAGGTGTAGCTGGCGTCACTGCTCATGCATGTTGGTGACTGTGGCTCCTGGGATGGCAGTGAAAGGGGCAGGGCATGCACTGAGCAATACTGCAGCTTTACAGCGGGGTTCTCTACCAGAGCTCTTCTATGAGTTCCCTGACTTCTAAACTATCTAAGGAGAAATAGACCTTGTGGAGCTGTAAATGTAGAGCGTTGACCCTTTGCGTGTTCAGCAGTGCAGACTTGAGGCCAGGGAGGGGTCCTTCAGCTCTCTTATACACAATGATAAGAGGAACTAACAGCTGAGGAAGGGAGCGTTTTCTAAACCTTTGAGTTAGCACACAAGCCAGCAGTTCCTTGTGGATTGAATCCATGCTTCCATATCCAAGAACTTCCTTGTTTGTAATGTGGAACTACTAAGGTGTAAAGGTTGGATTGCAATACATAGCCTTTTTGTTTGTTCAGCCATCACAGTTAACTAGATGCTAATAGCAGTTTTAGTTTTACAGAGAGGGGAAAGCTGTTTAATGTATTAAGGTGGCACTTGATGCAGTATTCCTCATGGTGCAGATGGCATGTTCCAAATGTTACAACAAGAAACAGATACGTAGATAGGGCCTGTGACCGAAACATAGGCAAAGAGGAAGTCAGTGTTCAACAGCTACAGTGAAAAGTTTGCTGTTTGCATATTTGTTTGCCACCTTTAAGAGGCTTGAAAGTACAGAAAACTGAGGAATTCCTAAGGGAGGAATAAAGTTAATGAAGAACAATGACTTTTTGAAAAATACACTTATCAGTAGTGGTTTCATAGGAAGTTCTTTGGTTGTGTTTTTATTAAGTAATAAAGATAGGTGTGCAATGCTTAGTTGTAGTTGTTATGAAAAGGAGAGAATCCTGTGAAGTCAGCGGATGCTTTAACTAGGTTTTTTAGTTAATACTAAGCTTTATTAGAACACTTGTTACTGGTGGCTAGGATATGGGAGACTGGGGGGGATCTTTAGTTCTCATATGGAATCATCTCAGGTTTTTCATTCTAACACACATTCCAGACAGTCATAGAGCTGTAAAATTTCTCTTTAAACACAAAATTCATCCAGTGATGTTTAGTTCTCTCATTGTAGCCTCCTTCTGAAGAAATAAAAACAGGCGAGGATGAAGATGAGGAAGATAATGATGCTTTATTAAAGGAAAACAATGAAAGTAAGATATGCATGTTCTCCATGTTTGCAGTAGCTCTCTTGCTGTGTGTTGTAGAAGCTGTTTTAATAGTCAGCGCGTCTGACTTAACCAGCATTCATACCACAAAGCACAGCCTTCCCAGGGCACGGGGTACCCATAGAAACCTCTGGGTCTCATGGCCTGCAGTGCTGAAAGCATCCAACTAGTTGAAGTTGGATTAGCCTTTTCATTTGGATCCTCTTCCACCTTTTCTGCTACATGGTGGTGTTTACAGTGTTAGTAGGTGTATATAGCTAAAATGCCAGCATTGCCGTGTAAAAACCTACCTTGAGTGTTCCATGACCTGCTTCCTTGTTCTTTCTGCCCTTTAATTGCCACAGATAAGTGCCTCTCTCCAGCCCCTGCTGGAGTGGGTGGTTATGGAACTTTCAGTAATGGATATATTCCAACTCTGAGAATTTTACTTCCTCTTCATTTAAAATAACTTAAAGGCAAAAGCTGCTCTGTTAGAAGAGCAGCCTGCCTGACAAACTTCACCTCTTGTTCATTCCTCTCCATAAACCACTCCTTCCATTTTATCTCTTGCCTGTAACCCTGGTATGTTGTACTCCTGGAAGTGTCCTTCACTGTCTCCCATGTCTGTGGATCTGCCTCCTTCCACCCTCACTCCTGCCTTCATCTCACAGCACATTCTCTCTTGTGTGTGCATCTCTCTGTGCCAGCTCTTGTATCCAGTATGGGCAGGTAGGATCTGCAGAGCGGGGAAGCCACACGCTGGCCACCACTATCAATTTTGCTGAAAGATTTTTTCTGTGAGTGGCAAAGCTTCCCGTGGGCCTCTGTGAATCTCTCTTCTGTCTCCCTTTTTCATCCAGCAGCTGACCTTTTCCACAGTCTTCTTGACAATAGCAGGGAAGTTTCCAACTCCTCAGCGTAACGCTGCCTGAGCAAACAAACTGCACAGCTTCGCTGCATGGAACTCACATCTTTCTTTAAACTTTGCCGTAAAGCAAAGATGGCAGAGCTGTGGTCCTCTGTGCTTAGAAACAAGGGAAGTGAGCAGAGTGCTTTTGTTGTTTGTGATCTTTCATTCCTTCTTCTCCACGCAGTGAGTTTAGTTTAGATAAATGGCACTGAAGAGAGCTGAAACTTCCACTCCACGCCAGCTGGCTCTTCAGGTTGGGATTAACTTAAACGCAGTTACCTGTAATTCAGCCTTGAGTGTTTCTTCTTTTAAAGTGTGAAGTAAACATAGGTGGTAAGCCACAGGTTGTAGACCTAAGCTATAAATGTGCAAACCCACCTGTGTAATCACTGCAGCACTTGGCTGTTCAGCAGAGCACAGTATTCCATGGTTTTATCTACATGCCAGAATGACAGAGAATTCCTTAAAAGTACTGACTGTGTATTAAAGCTGTTACTGTCCTGTTCACAGTCTTGCTGCTAACAAGAACATGAGGCTTCAGTAACAGTTAAAGGGAAGCAAACTGTTTTTACCTCAGTTAACGCTGAGCAAAGTGACTGAAGGAAGTCTGAGAGACAATTAAATGTTAAAGATCACTCTGTATTTTTAATATTATAGTTGGCTCATGTATTGAAACTTGCAGGCTGCCTATCAGAATCCTGGTTTTCATTTGGAGGAGGTGGTTCTGATCTACATAAGGCTTTAGAACTTCTCTCTTAATCAAATGGGAGATAACATAAACCCCCAAATATTCTTTGTCACAGGCAATAAGGAATGTTCCTTTTGAAATCCAGGTAATGCAGCTGTAAAAATCCATCTGTTCTCAGAGCCCATGAGTAGTTTTAACAGCTGAAGGAAAGGTGTGAGTCATCTGTCTGTTAGTAAGTAAATAGGGTGTTTAAACCAGGGCAGATAGGGAAGATGAATTTGCAGTATCTGGAGGCATTCTCTGTGTCTCACTGATTCTTTCTGTTGTTTCCCCAGGTCCAGAGGTGCAGCGGGACAAAGCCATGACAGGCGACCAGATCGAGGCAGTTGCGAACAGGCTTGGGGAGCAGTGGAAGGCCCTGGCCCCCTACTTGGAAATGAAAGATGCTGACATCCGGCAGATCGAGTCAGACAGTGAGGACATGAAGATGAGAGCCAAGCAGCTGCTGGTCGCCTGGCAGGACCAGGAGGGTGCCCATGCCACCCCTGAGAACCTGATTCTGGCACTGAACAAGGCTGGGTTAGGTGACCTTGCAGAAAGCCTGAGCAACGACACTGAGAGTGGCAGCTAACTCATTCCAGCTGCTGCTCAACCCTGTTTGGGTTGGGGGGTTGTTACCTGTGACTTCTGGTGGTTGTCATTATCATCAGTTGTGACTGTTTTGGTTTAATGGTTCCTGTTGTTGCTAGGTAACAGATTTTTAACAGGCATCTGATGGTCAGTAAAAAAACTTTTTAATAACGTGTTGAGTTGTGCAGACTTTCTGAGAGCAGGGATAGTCACCCTGGTGCGGGAATAAGAAGCTTCATCTTGGCTGGTGAAAGGGAGGGTGGCAAGTCAGGCAGCTTTCTGTGCCAACCATCAGCAGATCTTGGGTCACTCCAGCTGGATGGAGCAGTTGATGGTCCCTGTGACCACTGGCTCTGTGTAGTTTGTAGTTGTAGAGTGTGGGACCTGTGAGCCAGCAGCATTTTGGGGTGGTGGGATGCTGTAGACCATCAAAGTGTACCTGCTTGTGAGTGATTCAACCTTGAGAAAACTGGGTTGTGGGGGAGACTCGAGTCACAGTGTGCACTTCCTGTGAAGCACCAGTGTCCTTAGAGGGGTGCACGTTCAACCTGCTTCCTTTTGAAGGACTGGTTCTCTCTGAACCTTGACAGTTGATAATGGGGGGGTTTCCATGCTTGTGCATGTTAGCAGTTACTAACCAGTCTCTGGATATTTTGGCTCTGTAGGAACTCCCCCAGTACTTTCTTTCTCCCAGATCACTGTGAAGTGACAATGGGTTCCATTTTAAGGATATGTCTACCTATTTATGGGTACAAGCTGTTGTTTGTAGCTGGATCTGTTTTCCCTCAAAAAGCAGGAGGTTTTTATGGTGCTAAGCAGTAGCTAGCTACGATTTGGGTTGTGGCTGCTGCTTGTAGAATTTGTGTCATTCAGTGAAATCTCTCCAATTGCCAAGTGTGTGGAAAACTACATATCTATCTCAGAACTTTTCCCCCTATCATATTGCTTCAGTTATTGAATGATACCTGTGAATTGCTGGGGTGGTTAGCTACTGGCTGGGAGGCAAGTTCCTGCCTGCAGAGCCATTGAGGAGAACTTTGTGCCTGCTCCCCCCACTTTGGATGTAAGTGTATTAGGAATTTGATTATCGGGTACAGAAGTGGAAGTCAGAACAGGCTGATAGATGGGACATTGTTGGAAACTACTGAGCTGTCGTGAGACCCCACCTGGAGTACAGAGTTCAGCTCTGGGGCCCCCAGAGTGATGTGGACCTGTTGGAGCAAATCTGTGGTGAGCTGAGGAAATAACAGAGCCCAAGTGTTGCCTCTCGCTACAGGTAGGGTTTGGTAGAAGGTACAGAATGGAACAATTTCAGTTAAGGGACTTGACCTTGGACTGAGGTGCATGGGGAATGACTAATGGTGCTTGGGCATGGCCAACCTGCCCCCTTGATGTTGCAAAGCTGGGGCAGGGGATGACCACAGTGAGTGTGACTGCAGGAAGCCATGTGCAGTGAGTGACATTCTTGATGCTTCAGGCATGAACGCCACCTTGGCACTCACAGTCGAGGCAAGAGGCCTGGGCACTGAGCTGTCCCCCTGGTTTAGCTTTGTTCAAGGCCAGGTTGGACAGGGCTTTGAGCAGCCTGATCGAGTGGAAGGTGTCCCTGCCCATGGCAGGGGGTTGTTTTCCGCAGAAGGCTCTTTCCAGCTGCCAACAGGAACTTTAAGAGAAAAAAGTGGCCACAGGACCACAGCTAGGACATAGTTCCACAAACCAGCAACCAGCCACGATTCCCTTAGCTCCTTAACAGGAACCAGAAGCAGCATTACAAACAGATGTGTCCGTGCCATTTCTGTGGGGAACAGAGGAACAGGCCAGTACTGCAGTGGGGCTTCCTCAGTGGCTGGAGCTGCCTTTAAACATCATGTAACTTCTTTAAAATCCCCCCTTAGGCCTTTGGTGCACTCCTGGGGCATCTGTGCAGTGGCGAACACAGTGCAGTAACCAAAACTACCGAGGGAGCCATGGCTGGAGCCAAGTCCCAGGGGAGGGTGAAAGCTGGGTGCTTTCTGAGCATGGAACTCCCCACGCTATCACTGCAAATGAACATACAAGTGAAGGTACTTCATGCGAGTATGGACTGGCTCACCCACAAGGGTCTGGGACACATTAAAAGTCAGATCCTCTGTTGCTGTCCTAGTGCTTTTCTGGCTGTGGCCAACGCTGAAATGCTTTTTAGCTGCAGCCTCCCACTAGCCTACAGCTGCTGCATTCCTATGGAGAAGGAATAGCAGTTAACTCTAAGTAAGCATAGCCCAAGTTAGCCACCAAACTAATTACTTAGCAAAGAATTACAGAATCAAAGAGGCTGGAAAAGACCGTCAAGCCCAAACATTACACCCCAGGACTGCCAGGTCCACCACTAAACCATGTTACTGAGTCCTTACTTCCACGGACAGTGATCCCACCACTTCCCTGGGCAGCCTGTTCTAATACCGAGTCACCCTTTTGCTGAAGAAATTTTAATTCCTATCCAGTCTAAACCCCCACTGGCACAGCTTGAGGCCATTACCTCTTGTCCTGTTACTCGCGAAAAGAGACCAGCCACCTCCTCACTGTGTCCTCATTTCAGGCAGTTGTAGAGAGCAGGGAGAGCCAAAGGACAGGAGATAAATCCTACAGCTTAAACACCGGTGGCTTTATCACAAGGCTACTTCCAGACATTCATCAGTGGTGGCCCAGGGAGTGAAAACAAACACATAATATTACATCAGTAAGACATGAACTTTTTTTAATGGAGGACACGTTGATCACAATTTATTTTGAAGTCATGAGGTGCCAGCAACAGAACAGACTGCATCAGCACGTCAGGCTGGACAATACTTGATCGGAGCCATGGTTGTTGGCTATGGGCAGCAGCACTGAGTTACACAACAAGGCAACAGTTGCTCTTCTACCTTCCTAACAAACATGCCAGGTAAGGCAGAGGATGGACAACTACTGAACTGTGGCAGAAACCATGCAAGAGTAACAAATGCGAGAGTAGGTGTGTAATAAATACTTGATGACATCGGAGAGGAAGGGGCAGGGGGGAAGAAGAGGCTCATTTAAAAACTTTCTCTTCTGCAAGATGTTAAAGCTATTTTAAAAATTGTCACCACCCCAGGGGCAAGCCCAGTCCAGTCCAGCGGCAGCAAATTGGTACTTGGAGCAGTTTGGAACCCGTACCCTTCTTCATGTGAGAAGGTTTGAACAAATTACTTATCCACTTGCTAAAAAGCTCTGGGGTTAAAGAAGTGATCAGTTATCAACATTTATTTCACACCTAGGCAGAATGGCTAAAACTGAAGACTACTGGTCAGCTTCATCTTCAACTACTTCGATTCTGCGAGGCCCGTAGAGTAGAACATAAGCTATATGCCAGTCTCCACCCCCGGATAACCTCAAAATATCTTCAGGTGTAACAATGCTGACTTTGTCATCATCAAATTTAATCCATTCATCTGCAAGAAAAGAGAGAGGATTATTTGTAATGTAGGTACATCAAATCTAAGCACACTTAATGTTAAGTCTGAAGGGCAATTGAGAGAGCTGTGAGTTGTTGAAGTGTTTTACCTTGTTTCCTTTTAACCCAAGACACGTAATGCCCAGAGGAACTTGATCTGCCTTGATGTGTTAGCACTGCCTGCAGGTCGTAATAGCCACAGTTATTAGAACCAATATCTGAAGGAAGAGGAGGAAAAACAAGTTACGTGAGTCTTACATGAACGGTTTTATGTTTAACAGCATACAGACTGAAGACACGTGAGCCAAACTGCAGCACTGCAGCTGTGTAACACCCCACTTACAGCATGGTTCTCAGTCACTGTGAACTAAACCCAGCAGCTTTCAGCCAGGACAGCCTCTCAGGAAACTGAGACATAAATACAGATCCTGGACAGAATGCAAATGCAGTAAGCTTAAAGCATTAAACCCACCAGTAAGCTTTCTGGACATATACTTCCTTCAAACACCAACCACTGACAAGGAAGCACCCAACATTGCACATGCCGGGCTGGATGGGGCTTTGAGCAACCTGGTCTAGTGGCAGATGTCCCTGCCTTTGGCAGGGGTTGGAACTGGGTAATCTTTAAGGTCCTTTCCAACCAAAACCATTCTATTATTATATGCTGTAATTCTAGGACATGCAAATGTCTTTTGATGTGCGTATCTTCTATGTATCATCAACGTATGATATGTCTTTGACCATCTCAAAAGCATTTTAGCTTGCCTCATCTTTCCAGTCCTTAATTTTCTGTCAGTTTCTGAAGATTAATTTCCAAAAGTGTTAAAAATAACCAGGGTTCTAAAAACATTCCTACCATTGGGTCCACTTACACATAAGTAAACTTTAAAACGGATTTATTTCCCTGTACTCACCATCGGGAAAAGAAAATGGTTCATATTTAACTTCTTTCTGTGCACCTTCGCTTTTACTAGACTGAAGAACAGAATATACTGAATTAACATGGAACAGTTGTGAAAAAGCTTCAGTGCAACCCTATCAAATCCCAACCCCCCCATTCATTTAAAGATGTTTTTAAGCCTAAACATTTTCTGTTCAACTTGAAACCAAGTTCCATTACCATATTTCTGAGTGGACATGCAAAAGCCTCATCTAAACCAGACCACTTTTTACTGCAAATATAACACCACTTTAGCACCTTTTGCCTAGACTGTTTACCCACAGGACTGACAGGTTTGTTTATAGCAAGGTTCTGTAATTGAAGACTGCATTCCTTGTTAGGGACTTGCTAGCAGCACAAATGGCAACAAGAAAACACTAGAAACACTCTTAATAGCACTTTCCTTGCTCCCAACTGTGTAGAGATGTGAGCCTTATTCAAATGTTTAAATGAAACTGGCAAGAGTTAGGCCAGGAAAAGACTGGCAAACTTAAAAACAATGGCTAAAACACTACAGTTTTAGCTTGTTTACTTTTTCCTTTCATTAAAGGAAATGGTTTCTTTAAATAAAGGGAAGCCAGTTTTAGAATATGTCCACAGGACCGAAAATGAAACCAATTACCATGTTTTTAGAATGCAGACTATAAGCTCATATATTCTAAATTTGTGTTAAGTACATATATTCTAAATGTTATCAGTCAGACACATCATAGAACCTTGTACAACCCTTTCCACTTGGTGAGCAGGAAAAGGCTACCTGTCACTGAAGAAGTGACCTGCC